ATGCCGAATTGTTTCCTGCTGTCAGCTTCCTTCCCAAAGCTCCTGCCCTTGGCTGCCGGGTTACACGCACACATTTGAGGTTTCGTGCTTGGATTCTCCTAAACTTTTCACTCCGCAGCAGCACGTTGGGGAGAAGAGCGTGTTTGTTGCTCGCTGTGGTTACAAACCAGGATGTGTTTGTGTTTCAGCCTTGTGGATAATCAGCTTTTGCAGAGTGTCTGTGAGTCGCCCCCGAGGAGCAGCAGCCCTGCCAGGCAGGAGGGCACGTTTTGGATAGTTGTAGCTTGTGAGCGTTGTGGGGGGTTGTGGGGGTTACTCGGTGTGGTGTATGAACGTGTGGGTTTGGATGAGCATATTAACTGTTCAGAGTCAGAGCTCCTATCCGATCCCCTCTTCAGGGATGGACAGATCCAGCTGTCCTGCGAAGGATTTCTATTTCTAGGCCATGCTGTGGGTTTATTAATCAAATTATCCTGCCCTCAGTGCTGGGCAGGGAGGACTGCTGGACAGGTTGTTTTCTCTGGTTAGGAGATGGGTGGATAGCTGCTGGTAGAGGATCCCGAAGCGTTGCCTGCCTGTAAGCCAGCCCATCCAAGGTCTGACTGCAAGCTGTGTGTCATTTCTAACGTCTGAAGAACATAGACTTTGTTGCTTGCTTTCGCTTAAAAAATGAGTTGGTCTGAGCTGACTGCTCTGAATGATGGACTTGTGAGGGAAGCAGTGCTGTACTGGATTCTGGGGCAGAAGTGGGATGATGGTTTGGTTCCTCTCACCAGAGAAGTTACTGGATGCTGGGTTGTAGTCTCTGCTCTCTCATCCCAGCTGGAGTTCTGGAGCACTGGGAGGACAGAGCATAATGATGGCATCTGTCCCTTCAGTAACTCAGTGTGAGCCTGGACTGCCAGAACTAGCTCCAGAATTCCCTCTTGTGTGAGATTTCAAGGAAGAAGAAAGTTTGCCATTGTGAGTTTCCCCAAGTGATGCAGAAACACAGTTGTTGCCTGTGGTGCTCTGCACTGGAGACCCAGGTTTGCTGCCTGGTCCCTTCTCTGGCTTGTCTGGAGGTGCAAAGCCAGAGCTGTGGGAAGAGCAGCTCCCCACGTAGCTGCAAGGCACGGTGTTTAAGCTCACGACAGGCTGCTGCTCTCTGGGAACTCATGCTTGGGCTTTGCTGGGTTGTGATTACAAGCTCTGCTTCAGAAGAAGACAACTTTTTACGGGGTATTTACATGGGTAGGGTTGGGGTTTAGGTGGAGTGCAACCCCTGCCTCAAACACCACTGCTGCTGTGGTGGTGTTGGTAGAGGTTCCTTGGGCAAAGACAGCCCTGGCTGCAGCTGATGTCACCTGTACACCTTTGTGTACCACACTGAGGGCTCCTGTTTCCTGGTGGTATCTGGATTAGATCCTCAGAAGTGCCTGATGTGTTGTGAGACCGCAAAGCCAGCCAGCAGTGTCGGGGTGGGAGTGCTGAGGGGGCCTTGACTCAGAAACCCAGGTGGGATTTGAGGTCGTCTGTAAGTCCAGCCCTGAGCACCTGGCATTGCGAGCTCCAGGGGTGAGCTCTGTGCACCTGCATCCCCCGCTGCTCTCCTTCTTGCTTCCCTTCCCCTTTTCTTTTCCCATTTTGTTGGATTTGAAGCCTGTGTTGTGAAGTTAAAATCGTGCTCCCTCTGTGCTGCTGTGCTACGCACACTTGTGACAGAAGCACCAGAGTAACTGTGTGTCTGTGCTCCAGTTTGTGGTGGGGATTTTTAAATTTATTTTGTGAATTTTTTTTAATTCAGAAACTGCATTTTTGTGTCCTTCTATACTTTTTACTTTTGCTCCCAGCGTTCGAGTCAGCCCTGAGCTAGTCCAACTGGTGTTAGCAGAGGAGAGGAGGGGGCTGGTAGGTCTGTGGATGCATTGGAGCCCTGGGCAGGCTCTTCTCAAAGGAGTGATCCACACCAGGACCTGGAGGGCTGGTGGGATGGGACCCTTTTACCCTTCTTTTATCCTTACCCCTGTGCACGTCACAGCACATCAGCTGAGAGTGGATGACCCTGTTCTCTCCCTGCCCTTCCAACTCCCATCTTCTGAAGGTTTCTGTTCAAGCATGTGGCTGGTGCAGAGGACACTTCTCACTGTAAAGGAAAATAAAGCCTTTTGTTGCTGAGAGAGCACGGTGACTTGAGCATGAGCTCCTCAGGGGAGGCAATGTTCCCCCAGCCTGTCCAGTGCTTCCTGCTGGAGACGAGGGTACCTAGAGGCAGATGTGGGATAATCCGTGCTGCCTGCTTCCTCCGTGTCCTCACCTCATCCCTGTAGGGCTTTGAGTTTTTAATTAATCAGGTTTGCAAGTCTGAATTAGCCTGACTATCATTTTTCTTCTTGATGTGAGGGACTTGGAAAATGTTCCCTGAGGTGGGAAAAAGCGTACTTGAAGTTGGAGAGTGCTTGCTGCAACAGAAACACCGAGGTGGGGGGTTCTGCTCTGTGTGAGAGGGAGAGGAGAAGCTTTGGCTGTGACAACAGGATACCATTAACCATCCTAATCCTAGAGATCAGTCTAAACCTTTCTGGGGGAGCTGCAGACCTTCCCCCAAGCCTTGTGCTGGGGACATGCTCTGGGTGGTCCTGAAACAGAGTCTGTGACGTTATGAGACCTGGTCATACGCTGCTGAAGTGGATCCTGCCCTGGGCACAGCCGTGCTCTGCATCCTCCCAGCCAGGGATGTGGGGAGGACAGCGATGTCAGAAACCAGATCATGCCACTAGGGTGGCTTTTTAAGCCCTTTGAAGAGGTGCATTGATTTCACATTATCAGGACCCCCTCTGAAAGCCATGGAGTACCTCATTTAAGGATGCTTTCTAAGAGATTTGTTTCTAAAGAAATCCCTCAGCGGGTTGTTCGGTGCCTCCCTGGGTGCTGAGCAGTGTCCTTTGAATACATCTTGGGGGTCTGGTGTGGGAAACCAGCAATTTCTTGGTCCTTCCTAATGCCAGAGCCAGGGAAGTGGGGGGCACAGGGCTGTGTGCCACCCTGGGCTGTGGGCTGCTGGTGTTTGCAGGGAGGGTGCAGTTGTGTTATTAACATCTAATGGCCAGAGGCAGGAATTTTTGCTCACTGGGGAAAAAGTGAAGCGATCTTTTTAATGCTTTTTAAGGCCATAACATCATCTGCAATTAATGTTTAACTCTAGTGAAGAACGTGCTCCCAAGCCAAGCAGAAGCAGTGCTGGGGTTATTTTGCTAGGGCTGCAGAAAAGAAAAGGCGTTTCTGGGATGTCTCAGTCTGTGTTTCCCCATTTCCCTCAGCTTGGGATTCGCCAGCTGCTGGTGCCTCTGCCTCTCTTCCTGCTGCACCCTGGAGAGTGCTGCCTCGGCTCTCCAGGCTTCTCTCTCACTTGCTGATTGTTTTTCTTGCCGTGACTGTGCACATCTCGTTTTGCTCTCTCCCTCCCCCAGAAATCCCACACTGGCTCCCCGTTTTGCTGTCAGGGGAAGATCAGGAGTTGGGGCTTTGCAAAACGTTGACTTCTCCAATGTGGTCTGGTTGTTGGGTGAGTGAGGCTGGACTGGGAGATGGGAGCACACCAAGGTGCTGGTCCAGCCAGGTCTGTGCCACTGGGCAGGAGAATAAAGGAGACGTGTCCTTGGCCTGTTTTTCTCCCTGTTGAAGTGCAGTGTAAGCAACAAGCAGGATGTGGAAGGCCAAATCACTCGGGGTTTGCAGGTGAATGAGGGCCACCCAGAAACACAGTGACATGCCCAAGGCCAGGCCGTTCTGGACGAGCAGTCAGGGCAGGAGGGCTGGTAGCGTGGTGCCTGGCTCTCTGCTGCACCTCCAGCCTCTGTGCCTCCCCGTAGCCTCCTCCTCCCTCCTTGGGCAGAGTGTGAAGCAGAGGGATGTAGGTGTTTTGCTTGCTGGTTCCGTGTCTGTGCTGGGGACATACCTGTGCATTGCCAGTCCTGTGCTCTGGACAGACAGCTGTGCCCACATCCCCCAGCAGCAGACCCTGATTGCTAATTAGCAACTCATTACAGCAAGCTGCTGGCCATTGCAAGGGGCTTCTGCCAGGGTTTGGGGAGGGGGATGTGCTACTTACTCTCTGCTGTGACTTTATAGTCCCATCTTTCTGCTAGTTTCAGTGCTTTGCTGTCTGGTCCCTGTTTCCTTCCTTCCTTCCTTCCTGCCTTTCCGCTTGGCAGCTCGGGAGCCGCGCGGTGCCAGCCTGGATGCCGTTCTCCAGCGAGCTGCCTGGTGCCCGTCTCACACCGAGAGCAGCCTCCCCGCTCAGCCAGGCCTGCCTGTGCTGCTGCCAGACCCGAGATGGAACACACCAGCTTTATCTCTGCCACACACATCCCTTGGGCTTCTCCCAAGGTTGGACAGTGGCTGCCTGCGCCGGGAATGGCACCAGCGCTGCATCCCACCCTGTTGTGCTGGGAAAGGGGAAGATGCTGCCAGAAGATGGCACAGGGCATGGAGAGGGAACTGCAGCAGCTTTTCTGCTTGCTCATGTCATACAGCCCTGCATGAGAAATGCCCTGGAGATGCTCAAAAGTCATGATGTGGCCTCACCTGCACATACCCACGTCCCTTTCCATTCCCAGATCTGCCCAGCTAACACGGGAGGGTTCTCGGGCCTTATTCTGCCTTGAAATGTGCAGAACATGGATTTGAAGGGATGGTTCCTCTTCTCCACAAAAGCTGAGTGGAAGATCTGCCTCTTTGAGGCATCACCCTGCACACAGGAGATGGCAGTGCCCTGGGCTGGCTATGGCTGGGATGTGGGGGCA